CATTTGCTACTGATGAGATCTGAGGAGCTTCCGGTATCTATGAGGATTCGGCCAACTCTCTGGTTGGCCACTTTACATTCAATAACGATAGGGTCATCATGCGGCCCTCGTACCCCTCCTAGATCTTCTTCAGTGATGACAATCTCAGGAAATGAATATTTGGAGGGTCGTTCTTGGTGAACGGAATTTACATCTAACCGTCTGATATTGTCTTTGTTGCCCCTAATAGTGGGGTCGCCTCCTAAAAAGCCGCCTGCAATGGTGTAGACGACTGCATCATCTGTATCGGAGCTATCGGCCTGTTGATTCTTTTTGGTCGACTGCTTTTTTGAGGAAGTGTTCCCCGTAGATTTCTTGACATAAGTGTCAAGATCACCTTGCTCAGCCAGGCGGTCCAGATACCGCATGAGACTGATGCATTCATTGGTGTGATGACCAACATCTTCATGATAAGCACATAATTTTTCTTGGTTCCGGTTGTTTGCAGAACCCTTCATGGGGACCGGCTTCTCAATTGAGATCCGTCCCTTGATTTCCTTTAGGATAAACCGGCTATCCTTGTTAAACGCATACTTTGGGGAGTATGGTTTGAATTCTTTTTTCTTTTTCTGGGCCGGCTGTTTAGAGGAATCAGCCGCCCAGACCTCTTTTCTCTTCTCGTCTTTGTTTGACGACTGTTTCTGTCGTCCTTCTCTTTTGTCGGACCTTTTCCCGTCTGACTGTTTTACCGTACTACAAAGATCAGTCGCCTGTATATAGGCTTCCGCTTCAATCAAGGCCTCTTGAAGAGTCGCCACCCTCTTTCGCACCAAATCAAATTTGAAGGTCGGCCCATCTTTGAGACCTCTGAAAAAGTCAGTATAGGCTACTTCATTCGGTAACCCTTGAATCTGTATTCTCATCAGGTTAAACCGCCTGATGTAAGAACGAAGCCCCTCCTTCTCGCCCTGCTGAATTGTTCCTAAATCAAGGGTCGTCTTCTTCGCAGGGATGTTCATGGCGAAGTTGGAGGTGAATAAGTAAGCAAGCGTCTTGATGTTATTTACACAACCAGTCGGCAGGTTGCCGAATCATTGTTGTGTGATTCCTTTGAGAGTCGCTGGGAAACACTTGCACCAAGTGGGATCATCCAACCCTTGAAGGTACATCAGGTTGGTGAATTCCATCAGATGGTCTTCTGGGTTAGTAGTGCCGTCATAGGCGCCTACTAATACATTTTTCACTTTGGCCGGCTGAGCGGCTTCAGTAATTTCCTTGGAGAAGGCCGACGGCTGTTCACCAAGTCTAAGCAACCGTAGCTGCCAGTCCATAGGTTGGACATTTTTTGCTGCATGTCCACCAAACGGAGGTGGCTGTAAAAAATATTGTTGTTGCGGTACAAACGGTAAGTTTGGTACCGCCTGGTCGCTATGAAAGTCGGACTGACGGGAGGTGCCGCCTGACTGACTCTCATGATACGACTGAGTATGCCTCATTGAGGTATTTCGCAGACTGTCTTGGAAGTTTGAAGTAGAGGCCGACTCTGACAATCGGCTACTCTTCTTCTGCTCTAGCAGTAGCCGAGCGTCTGTGTATGTTTTCCTCGACCCGTCCGCCTGAATATGACGAACATGTTTCCTATTTCCTAGAGTAGGAAAACGGTATTTTGTGAAATCAAGGGCAGTCGGCTCCTGCTTCCTAGATTTAGGATGAGGAGTCGCCTCTCGCCCTTGAACTGGCTTGCTCTTCTGTGAAGTGGAGGGTTTCTTAGCCGACTGCTCCTTGTCCAGAGCAGGCGGCTTCTTGTTGATCAACTCTTGAATTTCTCCCTTGAAGTCCCTCATGAAGGTCATGAGTTCACTCCTTGTGATGGGAGCAGACCCATCAGTCGGCTGTTGCCGAACAGGCGGTGCGCCTGCTGGCTCGCTTCCTGTATGAAGATGTTCCCGTTCCCTCCTTTCGGTATGACGGGTACGTCGGGCCCTTAGGGTCCCGTCTGAAGCTGTGTGAGCTTCAACTTCAAATTCATTTTCAGTATCGTGGTCCGACTGAACTTGAGGGTCGTCTAGGGGACGCCTCTCTTCAGGAGTCGGTACAAACGTGGATGCCATCTCAGAAGTACTCTCCCCACAGACGGCGCCAAATGTTTCGGGGTTTTCTGATGTCCTGCGGGAGAGTTACAATTCCGAGACTGGAACCGGACGCCTGTACCTGCAAAACAAACGGACGCTCCGGATGATTGGAGATCCGCCTCCGACAGTCAAGTTAGTACTTGATTAAGGAGTAATTAATGCGGAAATTAAAGTGATTGGGTCTCTCTAGGTGAGAGTGTTTAATGTGTGTAATGTGCGTTTTAGCGTCATATCTCCCTTAATGAGGATTAAGGGAGGTATTTATAACCCCGGGAAACGTGTCAATCTAGGTTTAGGTTAACCTTGGGCTGATTGGGCTTCCCTCGGGAGTTGGGCCTAGGTGACCGGTTATCTCAGGTGTCATGGGAAGGACACGTGTCGTGTCGTAATTGGTCCATGGTGGACGGATCATTGCTTGACACGTGGCAGGCTCCTATTGGCCCATGTGACGGACACATGGCGGAACCTGATTGGTCCACTTGTCAGATGGTGATTGGTGGGGAAAAATCCCCTAATCACTATGAATGGTAGGACTTACCGCTGTGTTCTTTACTACTGGTTGGGTGCTCCCTTGTTCTCCGTTTTGACACCTTGCTCTGCTTGCTCAAGGGTTTTTGATGGGGATATTTTTGGGGATCATGCAGTGTCTTATGCTGGGATGGTGGGTATTAAACATCGGCACAATGTTGTTCGTGATACCCTTGTTGATATTTGTTTCCGCTCTGGGATTTCTGCAAGGAAGGAGGTTAACGTTGGGTTAAGTGGAGGGAACGACGGAGCTCTTCGACCAGTAGATGTGTTGCTTTACTCCTGGGATAGAGGCCTAGATGTATGTGTTGACTTGACGAGGTCTTCTCTATTGACACAATCTGGGTTGTCTGACTTCGTTCCTGGTCGTGTTGTGTCGGCTGCGGCTCAGCGGAAGCGAGACAAGTATGGGGCACGTTGCAGGGCTATTGGCTATGGTTTTCTTCTTTTCTCCTTTTCTTCATTGGGGGAATTAGAGAAGGATGTTGTTGCATTGTTGAAGAGGGTTCAGGCGTTCTCTAGGACTTAGGATATTGGTGCTCGTGCGGCTGCTCACATCTTCAATAGGATTGGGTTCGCCATAGCTAGAGGGGTGGGGGCCCAGATTGTATCTCGACTCCCCACTAATTTCTTATAAATCATTTGACTTTGTAGGTTTTTGTTATAAATAATAATAATAATAATAATAATGATAATGATAATGATAATGATAATGATAATGATAATGATAATGATAATGATAATGATAATAATAATAATAATAATAATAATAATAATAATAATAATAATAATAATAATAATAATAATAATAATAATAATAATAATAATAATAATAAAGGACCTAATCCAACGGATTGGGCAAGCAATCCGTTGGATTAGGTCTATATATTCCCAAAAAAACAAAAGGGAACCTAATCCAACGGATTGAAGAAACCATTGGATTAGGTATCTACCTAATCCAACAGATTGCTCAATCCGTTGGATTAGGTCTATTTTGCCGTTGTATTAGACCTAATCCAACCCTTGCAAATGTGACGGTTGGTAACCGTTGTATTAGGTCTAATACAACGGTTTTTGACACCTAATACTACAAAAAAAGCCGTTGTATTATCTCTTAAATGTAGTAGTGATTCTCCCACATTGGTTGGGGAATGAAGTTCAAGGGTGCATTTCCCTATAAATACCAAAGGCATGGTATTGGGAAATACACAACCTTGAGTGGAATTAAAAAGGAAACTCTTGTAATTAGAGTAAACCATTAATTCATAAACTCTTAGTTTTGTTTTTTCCGGGTCTTGACTAACCTTCAAGACTTGGGACGCTCGGGTCGGGTCGAAGGTACGATTCGTCGGAGATCTCGTAGTTTCGGGATTTTGAAGTAAGAGCTCTTCGGGAGCGAAGCACGCAACAAAGGTATAATTCTTGTTCTTAGTCTTGCTTGATTAAGTTTATTATTGCTTTAATTAAGGGGCGGGTCTTGAAGGGTTTCCTTTTGCGTAGTGTCGGGTCACTACAAAACCCTATAATTCGGTCGCCTTTGATCACAGAATCTTGTTTATGCTTTATTTTTGCCAAATATAGAGGGTCCTTGACATGTGCTTGAATGCTATACCGACTGTTTCGGCTTTGTACGTTTTTTAGAATTTGCTTAAAATTTTGCTTAGGATTTTTTGCAAGCAAAGTTTATCAAATACCAATTGCCTATGCCCCTGGACGACTTGTTGTCTTGGCTCCAGATTGGCGACTAGTCGGCCATGTATCCAGTCGGTTTCCCAACATATTTTAGAAAACACGTTAGGTCTGCTTAACTTTTTCAAGTTGGAAGGAACAGGTCGCTTGTAGTCGGGCCATCTGTTCGTTCAAGTAAAAATAGAGTCCTTGTTTGCCTTTAGCCAGGCGAAATCATCGTTGCTTTTGGATCCATACCAAGTATGTGGGAGTGACTATGAGTAATCACTAGGCGAAAAACCCTAATCCCCGGTTCAAACCACACATTCCCCACCGGTTTTGAACCGGTCTTGATTTGGGGGTGCTAAATCCCCAAAGATTTCCCACCGGTTCAAAACCGGTGGCAAAAATAACTTTTCGCACCGGTTTTGTAGTGAACCGAAGCAAAAACATGCGATTTAGCAAACAGCTGGAGAACTTATTGCACCGGTTCTTAGTGAGAACCGGTGCGAAAAGTGGCTAAAAAAATTAAAAAAAAAAACTTTTTGCATCGGTTCTTTTCCAAAACCGGTGCCAAAAGTGCCCAAAAGAAATAAAAAAAAATTAATTTTTTTTGCATTTTTTTTAACTTAAATTACACCAAATACTTATATATATTCATAATATCCATAAAACACATATATTTTCTTCAATAACTTGTAATATTACACTTTAAAAAACGAAAAAAAAAAAAAGGTTCCGATAGCTATATGCTGCCTGTTTTGCAGTTCTGGCTGGTGCATTTTGCTCCTTGTTGGTGCTGCCTACTGTTACGAGTTACAGCCTACTAGGTATGATCCATTATCAGCCGAAATCTTCCAATAGCCACATGGTGCAATCTCCCACTCAACAAACCCATTCCATGGTACAAATTCATAGAAAATTCCAGCATGGTGCACTCCCACCTGTAAAAGACTCTTGAGGTATTAGCAAATTCTTAATTTATGAAGTTAAATTTTGCAACATAATCCACAGAACAAAATTACCACAATATATCTTAGCAACACCCCCCACTTCACCCCCTGTCGAAACAATAAATTATTCACCTCCGGTCACATGAGCTTTTGAGAGCCCGATCTGGTGCAGTTTCCTCAAAAGATATGTTTTTCCAGGGAACAAAGACGGAATTATTATTTTTTGCGATCTTACATTCATTAAATACAGTTTTTTATTTAGTGTTAATGTGTATCCATCATTTTCATCTATTCCATCTAGCTACTTAACCTTCTAAAATGGTGCACTATTTTTATCTCCCACTTAATAATGCCTTAACTACTAGTTTATTCCGGTGTTCATTTGTTAACACTAAATTTCAAGAGATGGTGAAATAGCCCCAGCAAGATACTTCAGCTCTAATTATTATGTTTAAGTGCATAAGGTAAAGAACTGCCATGCTCACAGCAAACAGACAAGTTTTGAAAGCATGAGAATATGTTTCAACTTCAAATGTACAATTGAGACATAATAAGACTACTGATAGTATAGTGTGTATAGCATCTCATGTTTTCTTATTAATACTCTTAATAACATCATATTGAAATTTGTTTCATGCTTTTGCAATGAAACTCTAATGAGCACAGTACGTAGAATAATCTTGATTCATTAAAGAGTACAAAAAGAGAATCAAAACTAGTATGACGGTAGCAACATAGTAAGAAAAGGAAGAAAAAAATATACGGAGTAATACAATTTCTCACCATAATACATCTCAAGCCTATCAAAGAAACCCTTACTAACACATTTAATATAGGCAACATTTCATGCCTTTCAACCACACAAGTAACAATGAAACACTCATTAAGCCAGAGATCAATTGAGAACATAGAAGTACCTGTTGACAGTCCCCCTGCCATGCATACTTGCCAATGAGGTTCAAAAACAGGAAAAGCAGCAAGCCAACCTGCAGTGGATTTTTGTTTTGAACTGACATTGCCCCAGGACGAGTACTATACTCCCAGTGAGCTGTTTTCACTGTTTCAACATAGTCTGACCTGTCAACAAAAGACATGATGCGTAATGTGAGGCAACAAAAAGTATAATACAAAGTCCAAGAACACTAAATTGCACAGAAATTAAAAGTGCATATTTGATTTAAAATAAAGTAAAAAAGCTCCCGTAAAAGCAAGCTATTAATGAGGGAAATATTAAGCCAAAGAAAGATGCTCAGAGTAAGAGCTTCAAAGAGTTCAAACAGAAGACCCATAATGTAACTAATAATTCCTTCCATGTTTACAGTATTTTCCCATTGAAACTGGAGAAGGGTGCTTGATAAAAGAGGAGAGTCAAACTGCAGTAGGTGACTTGCTATAAAAACCCTAATATTACACATACTTTAAGTAACCAGAAACATCAGTGATGCAAGAGTAATCCCAAAATAAAATAAAAAAATGCATATTAGAAGGAAACAATCAATCCTGAAAACCTATAAGAATCAAATCAGCTATTGTAATTTTTTGAGGTTTGCAAGTCTCGAGAAGAAAAGTCAGAGCAAACTAGCTCTAAGTCAGTCCACAAACCAGTCAGTACTTCCAATTGTTTTCTTTGCTATATGAAGACTATGCAAAACAGAAGGGGTACATGTACATCAGAAAGATTTTGAAGTTTTCTCATACAGAAAGATCAACAAAAGGGTTAGAGAGTAGCTCATCTAAGAGCTTGACAGTTGTATATATCCCCAAGAGTGTCCATTGCGAGAATTTATGATGTTCACCTCATAATTCCTCATTGATCATCACATTTTGAACAAACTCACCTCTACTGGCTCTAACTCTAGATGTCATCATATTTTGAACAAACACAAACAAGAATTAACGAGAAATGAGAAGAAAATACTCACTTGAGCTTGGCCATGAAACTGTCAACAGTTTCATCTTTCTCCTCTTTCGAAAAATACCAAAGCACACTTGGAATGACAAAATACGAAAGCTTGCGACATATAGGACAAGTCAATGTGGAATTAACATCCATTCCAGAGGTTGGTGAGCTGTTTCGCCAAAACCTGATGCAAGTTATACAAAATGGGTGGTCACATTCTGATAGCAAACCAAACTATGATGCAAGTTATACAAAATGGGTGACAAATTGAAGAAGTATAGAAAGAGAAAGAAAGAAGAAGTGAGGAAAGGTGGGAGGTATTGAGTGGGTTTAGTCGTGAATAAGGAAGAAAAAGGTGAGGTTTTGGGGTTAACATCATCATTATGGCCCACTAAACTATCCTAATATTAGCTGGTCCTATTTTTATGTATTATGTACTTGTATTATATATTCTCATCAATCATGATAATTTCAGTAGTTTTCAAATATATATATTTTGTATTTAAAAGCCATTTAATTTATTCCCATGATCTTAACTATTGAACATTAGTTAGACCAAGATTTCTAAGTAAATAACAGTATACACAAGTGTTATCAGAATGGTAAAATCACATAATTTATTGTCAGCTAAAACCTATACTCAAGCTTCAAACATGGTTCTGTTGAACAGAATCCACAAAGCATTCTAATGTTATCAAATATCAACAGAATCATGATGGGGATGGGCCTTTTAATATGCATTGGTGGCAGATTGATGTTGATCATGATGCTAAAAATGGAGTACGCCCCCATTACTCACTGCTAAAAATGCAAAATACAAGCTAGGCCTATCTTCTTTCAACAGGAAAACACAAATTTTAAAGAGTAATCATAAAAATAAAAAAATAAAAAAAAAAAAAAAAAAAAACAAATTAAACATTCTGCTTTAAATACCACCAAATGTTCTTGCAAAGTGTCAAATCTCTCTCCTACTACCTTCTTCATACATCATTATGAGGGTCTAGTCCATGCCTTAGAGCCTAACTCATGTTGAAAACAAGCATGTGTTTAACATGTTAATCTGCTAATTACTCGCAGCCTAATCATAAGGTAAATGGAAATAACACATAAATATCTGGACAATCACCTTTTGGGTATAATGTAGAAATAACATACCTAAATCACAAGATCTATGATCTTTGAACAGAGCTATCAGCCCGTAAGATGAAGGGCAAATTGAGTCACTATTCATCACATACTGCGAACAAAGATGAAGCACATGAGTTATTTGTAACTATTTTGTGTTAATGCTCTGTGTTTAACTTCTTTCAAACAGTTACAGGCGTAACACAGTCAGGCTATTAGCTGGTCCATGTAAAGTACATAGCTCACAGAAATGAGCAAATAATGCAGATCCAACATACAATTTTCACACATTTAAAATTGTTAAAAGAGGTCATAAAAACATCAAATTTACAGAAATACCTATAATTAACATCAGGTAGAAGGATCCTCAGTGGTGGAGTATTCTACTACGAAGTATTAATTAATTGGTCATACATTGTAATACTAAAATGAGATTGTATTAATCTTTCATTCTAAAAATTAGAATTCAGACAATCACTCTGTAACAGAATACAATCACAATGCGTAGCATAATAAAGCTGTAATTTTTTTAAAAACTCCTTGTGTTTTCACGTTCTCTCGGTTTTTAATTAACACTATAACTTGAAAGAGAACAAAGATGCATATTCTGGTAATATTGGACCTGTTGAAGATTAAAGATCTCAAATTGCTCCAATGTCAACTGTCTGGAACTAAACCTCTGAATGTGATTCTAGTAAAACAACCTCAGACAATTTCTAAATAGACAATAAGCTGAATTCCCACACACATAAACCAAATTAATGCAATCAATCAACTCATAAACCAACCCTAAATAAATTAACACACACATATACACCTTCAACAATATAAACCTTCAACTAATTATCCCATTCAACAAAGCAAATCGAATTTACACTTACATGTTTTGGAATCCAAATACAGCTTGTATTCAAACGGAACCATGGCTTCGCATCAACCAGAACAACGCCTTCAAACGCCCAAAAATTGTAATTCAACTATTTGATGGTTCACACACCAACCCTAATTGCATTCAAAATTTCAATTGTTCATCATTAAACAAAAAAAAAAAAAAAAAAATCAGTAAACCTAGATTTCAAACGCCTAAATAACAAACAAAAAAAATTCATAAAACCTAGATTTCAAATCGAAGAGCACATACCTCGAATTTGTGATCTTGAATTGATAACAGATTCAAGTTTGTTATTGTTGTTGTATTTGGTTCAAATTGACGGCGGCCGTTAGACTGAGAAGGAGGAGAGCGGCGTTGCTTGCGGCGCAGTTATGGAGAAGGAGAGAGAAAAGGAAAGGGAAAGCGGCGGTTATGGAGAAGGAGATCGAAGGAGAGAGAAGGAGTTTGAGGCTCTATTGTTGTAGATGAGAGACTGAGAAAGAGGCATATGGGAGAGGAGAGATCGAGGAAAGAGAAATTCACAAGACAGAAAGAGAAAGAAAGAAGATAAGGCCCGTGTTTCTTTTGTTTTTAACAATAGTTTTCCCACCGGTTCGAACCGAACCGGTGTGATTTTCGCACCGGTTTGGTTAGAACCGGTGCGAAAAGTCTTCCCCTCAATCTCACCTACTATATTTCCCACCGGTTTTTAAAAACCGGTGTGCATTTTTCGGTGCCTATTTCATTTTTTCTACTAGTGAATCTTTGAGATTATCCAGTCGTCACCTCTCTTGCTTGAGTAGTAGAGGTACCGGGCGACGAAGGCCGGCTGATCCCCTTGATTCGCCAATTTTTGTTGGCTAATAACTCAAGAGGTACCCCTTGTACTTATCCCAAGTGATACAGGCGGTTATCCGACTCGGATGTAAACTACTAATACTTGTTTGGTTAGTGTTTAGAGTTATCCTTGTCTCAAAACGGCTACGTGGTTTGTCCTTGGGGACAGTCGTTTAGGTGTCGTGTACTTAGTTTATAGAGCTTTATTCCACCCAAAAGGGAGCTGCTCTCTGTGACGAATCTCATATGGAGGGATGTCGCCGGACGCCTGCTATGATATTGGGACAAGTCGTATTAGTTTAAAAGAGAGGATCAGTTCGCTAGGCACCTGGGCTGACCACCCGGCCGTAGGATTAGTACCTCAAATGCAAAAATATCCTTCAATTCCTTCAAGAGTTGGTGAAAATTATCACCAAGTGCCGCAAGAGCTATCGTCCCAACCTTAACTGTTCGGTCAAGGCGTGAGTCATCCAGGACGAGATCCACATGTTCACTAGCCAGCTGAGGGCGAAAATCATCTGACTGATCCTCCGCCAATGATGGCTATCGTTTTTCCTTTCTTTCGGCCCCCAGTTGGGCAGCCTTTCTTTTCTTGCCTGCTGCTGCTTGGGCAAGCGCATCCTCCTTGATTTGCTCAAGGTCCGTTTTCTCTCCACATGGGCCAGTAGTCGCCACAGTGGGTTTAATATCCGAGTCCCTCCTTCTCTCCCTGCTGTATTGTCCCTAGGTCAAGGGTCGTCTTCTTAGATGGAATGTTCATCGGAAAATTGGAGGTAAATAGGTATGCCATGGTCTTGAAATTGTTTACGTAACCAGTCGACAGGTTGCTGAACCATTGTTGAGCAATGCCCTTTAATGTGGCTGGGAAGCACTTACACCATGTGGGATCATCCAACCCTTGAAGGTACATAAGGTTGGTGAATGCCATCAGATGATCTTCTAGGTTTGTAGTGCCATCATAGGCTCCTACCAACACATTCTTCACTTTGGCCGGCTGGGTGGCCTCAATTATTTCCTTGGAGAAGGCGAACGGCTGTTCTCCAAGTCTAAGCAACCTAAGTTTCCAGTCCAAAGGTTGGACGTTTCTTGCCGCCTGTCCTCCAAATAGAGTAGGCTGCATGAAATATTGAGGTTGCGGCACGTATGGCTGGGGTGGCACATGCGGTGCCACCTGGTTTTTTTGGGAGTCGGACCGGTGGGAAGTACCGCCTGTCTGGATCTCATTGTTTGAGTTTGAATACCTCAAGGAGGTATTGTGTAAACTGTCTTGAAAATCAGACGTTGAGGCCGACTCTAAGAGTCGATCACTCTTCTTCTGCTCTAACCACGTTCGAGCATTAGAGTATGTTTTCTTTGACCCGTCCGGTTGAATATAACGGATGGGATTTCTCTTTCCTGGTGAGGGAAAGTGATACTTCGTTAGGTTGATCACTGGCGGCTGCCTTTCCCCAGGCTTTGGGTAAGGGGTCGCCTCACAATCTTTTACAAGCTTCTTCCTCCCAGACTGGGGGGGGGGGTCTTCTGGCCGACTGCTCCTTGGATGGAGCAAGCGTCTTCTTATTGATGAGATCCTGGATCTCCCCTTTGAAATTATTCATCAAAGTCATGAGTTCACTTCTAGTAATGGGGGTAGATCCCTCGGCCGCCTGTGATGATCAAGCGGTTGGCCTGCAAATTTACTAGATCCATCCAGGCAATCTTGCCGTTCCTTCCTTTCGGAGGAACGAGTCCGTCGAGCTCTTAAGGTCCCGTCTGGGGCCGTGTGAGTCTCGACCTCGACCTCATTGTCAGTATCCTGGTCACTATAGACCTGAGGGTCGTCCATAGGACGCTTCTCGCTTTGATTCGGTACAGACTATGATGCCATCTCGAAAGTACTCTCTCCACAGACGGCGCCAAAATGTTTAGGGGTTTTCTGATGTCTTGCGGGAGAGTTACAATTCCTGGACTAGAATCCTTGCGCCTATACCTACAAAACAACGGAGACTCCTTGTGGTGGGAGCTCCGCCTCCGACGGTCAAGTTAGTACATATTTGAGGAGTAATAAGTGCGGAAAAGTAAAGGTGGGAGATCTGGTCCCTCAAGGTGAGGAATGATTAATGTGTTTTGGCTTCTCTAGGTGAGAGTAATTAATTGCTCAAAATCCCCCTTTAATGAGGATTAATTAACGCATTTATAGTCTTGGGAAGCGTGCCCAACTCTAGGTTTAGGTCAACCTAGAGCTGATTGGGCTTTTCCCGGGAGATGGGCCTAGGTGGCCATTTTCCTAGGTGGCAAACAGCAAGCCACTTAGCGTGACATAATTGGTCTGTGGCGTACACTGATTGGGCGGGGAAAACCCCCTAATCAACACCTATATGCTAGCTTATTAGGTAGAGGAGCTCCAGGAATAAGATCAATAGCATGCCCTATTCCACGCAAAGGAGGTAAACCCTTGGGTAATTTATCCAGGAAAACATCCTTGACCTCTTTTAGTAATTCCCCTACATGCTTATCTATTTAAGAACTAGTAGGCTGCATCTCTTTAACCACCAAAGAAAAAACCTTAGCTCCCTCTTCAACTTCTTTTTCGAAGTCCTTAGCATTCAAGAACAAATTCAAGACTTGCTTCCCCTTTTCTTTATCTTTAATGCGCCATGGAATAGGAAGTTAAATGATAAAGTTTGATCCTCTTGTTTCCCACCTTGACCGAATATGTGTTGGACACACCATCATGTGTCACTTGTCAATTAAATTGCCATGGTCTTCCTAAGAGAAGGTGACAAGCGCTCATAGGGATAATATCACGCCATAAGTCTTCTTTGTAATTGCCATTGGAAAAACTCACCAAGGCTTGTTTCTTCACAAGAAGTCCCTTCGAATCATCAAGCCAACCCAACTTGTATGATTTTGTATGTCCTTTTGTAGGAAGTTGGAGTTTAGTAACCATCAATGTAGACGCTACATTGGTACACGAACCACTATCAATGATCACCCTACATGAGGTATCACCTACTTTGCAATGAGTATGAAACAAACTTTCAACTTGAGATTTGTTGGGGGTTGCTTTGGCATGAAGGATCCTCCTTACTATAAGTATATTATCATCACTTTCGAGAGAAGCCTCCTCCTCTTCTTCTTCTTCATCAGTGTGCATTACCTTATCTCCGAACTCTTCACCTTCACACTCAAAGGTTATGTGGTCCTCTTCTTCTTCCATTTGTCGATATTGCTTTATTGTAAGAGCCTTCTTCGTAGGATATTGATCCGACCTATGTACAT